GATGTAGTTAATCAACAAATGAACCAATCGGAAGCTTATCTGTTGTGCTTTACGAATTTAAATAAAATTACAAATTTTTACTTTATTAAAAACCTGAACTCCGCACGAAACTATCCTTTATGCTTGATTTTTATTCAATTCTAACACCTGAAAGTAAAATGAATTTAACAAGACCTTCCACCTCCTCTTCTTCGGCTGATGCTCCAGGCTTGCTTTATGCTGGCTTCAATCAAGACTTTGGGTGTTTTGCTGCTGGGTTAGATAGTGGGTTTAGAATATTCAATTGTGATCCCCTGAAAGAAAAAATGCGTAAAGGTAACATCAATCTATCACGGGGTTTATAAATAATACTTTTAACAAAGTATAAGTCCGAGATCTTATCAAAGACGTACTCAACCAACACTTTCACAACTACTGGTTTTCATAGACTTCGACGACGGTGGAATATCGATCGTTGAAATGCTATTTCGTTGTAATTACCTCGCTCTTGTAGGTGGTGGAAAAAATCCAAAGTATCCACCAAATAAGGTTATCATATGGGATGATTTGAAAAGTAAGGGAATAGCAGGACTGGAATTTCGTAGTGAAGTTAAGAATGTAAAACTGAGAAGGGATAGGTTAGCATTAAATTATTTAAACCGCTAATTTCTTACAAATATTGCTAAAACAAAAAAATGTATTATTTAATTCATAATTCATATTTATCTGATAAATGTAACTTTCTTTTTTAGGATCGTCGTTGTTCTTTCTAATAAAGTATTTGTCTACATGTTTAGCGCGAAACCACAGAAGCTCCACACTTTTGACACAATAGACAACGATAAAGGTGATATTAAATTTCATCATATAATGCAATATATTTTTGTTAAAAAGATCGCCATGTGTCATCTTTTTACCAATATGCGATAGGTTTGGTTGCTCTATCGTCATCAGAAAACCACGCCATATTGGCGTTTCCGGGTCGACAAAAAGGCCATATTCAGATCGTAGATCTCAATACCTTCCATGCTACCACGGCTGTGACTAGAAACAACACTGCCTTTCCTACAAACTCATCGTCGTCTTCTTCATCCTTTCCACATCATAGACGTTCTTCATCGTTTGGTGGTCATAATGATCTACAACCTCCATCAGTTCATGACAGAAGACCAAGTGTATCCAATAGTTCAAGACCTGGAAGTATTATAAATTCGAGCGGAAGTACAACTGTGATGACCACAAATATTAGTATTATTCCTGCACATACTGGAAAATTGAGTTGCCTGTCAGTAAATGCAGATGGAAGCAAATGTGCGAGTGCCAGTGAAAAGGTTGGTACAACCTTTTGTTAATAATTTGCTAGCTACTTGCATCATTTACACAATATTGAATCTTTGTTTGTGTTCCTATATTTAGGGTACACTAATAAGAGTTTTTGACACCGCTACCGGAAAATTATTGAATGAATTACGGCGTGGTGTAGACCGTGCTGAGATTTATAGGTATTCACTAAATGGGGTGAGTCAGTAGGAATCAATCAATTTGGTTTTATTGAAATTTTTTAAACCTTTATACACCAATAACTTAATCAAAACTTGATCAAATTTAATAAAATTTTTTTAAATAAATTCTATAAGTTTGTAGAATTTATTTTAAAAAAATTTTTATTAAATTTGATTAAGTTTTTGTTGAGTTATTGTTGTTTAAAGTTTAAAAAAAATTTACTTAAAAAATTTTCTTGATTTCTACTGACTCAACCCAAATATAAATTATCTGTTGTGATTATCTGACATCTAATAACACATAATTATAATTAATAGCATCGCATTCAACCATGATTCGACGCGATTGTGTGTTTCTTCTGACAAAGGAACGGTACACATCTTTAATCTGGACGTCATTCTTGGAAATGGTGTAAATCACTCTCCGAATAACGGAGCTGCCTACTATGGCGAGGTCGTTGTAAAGTAAATATGTGTTTTTTATTTGACATTTGTTCTAATATTCAGATTTAATTTTGCACTTGTTTCATTTCATTACAGCAACACGGTCCCACCACCGAGTGGTAACAGACAATCTAGGTAACTAATATATTTTATCAATTATATTTATATAAACATAATTATGGGAGTAAAAATTTGATACCAATATTTATTATCTTTAAAGTTTATCTTTCATGAAAGACTTGCTTCCAAAATATTTCTCTTCCGAATGGTCATTTGCACATTTTAAAGTAATGGCAGACTGTCGATGCATCTGTGGATTCGGACAAGAAAGAAATTCTGTAATTGGTAAATAAGATTATCTAATTCCGTTATTTAATATACAAGTTATGTAATGTCTGTCTATCTTTGATTCAGTGATTTGTGCGGACGGAAGCTTTTATAAGTTTACGTTCGATCCCCGCAAGGGAGGAGAGTGCGTGCGAGAAGATTATGAAAATTTTTTAAGAAATCAATATGACTGATGATTTTTGTATTGAATTGATAATTGTTATTGGTAATTCATAATCAATTTCCGATGTACATTTATATTGTTTAAATTATTTCATAACCATGTTTTAGATAACTTGGGATAGCACGAGGTTGGGCGATTATATTTGGCACATGTGAATCTTTTGTATTGTCTACATATTATTCTGAAATTTATCATGTATTTATGTGTACATTCTTGTTTTTTTTTCTTTTTTTTTTTTTTCTTTTTTTGTTTCTTTTTTTTCTTTTTTTTTTTTTTTATAAATAAAGTCAATCAATCGAACTTTATTCATTATTAAATTATGTTAATATATAATGTCATTTCTACAACTTTAACAAGATTTGAAATATTTAAATCAAATGATCAACATAGTAATAACTATATACGTATAAAAAATAGTCTAAACTGTATGGATATAATGCAGCCAGTTTTACAATACCTGATACGTATTACGTACGTACGTACATACTACGGCCCACAGCGAACATTAGTGTACAGACCTATGCGTTTTCAGGGATTTTCATTGTTAAAACAATGGAAATGCTTAAGTCTGGAGTTTCAACTATCACTACGTATTAATTTATAAAAGCAAATTTCTTAAAATATATCAGACGCACGATTTGTCACGCAGATCATGTGTGCAAAATTTTTACTATGGGGTCAAATGATCGACGCACCTAAA